CCCATAGATGACAGATCCAAAATGAAACTTCTTATATTACTGCCAGCGATCGGGTAAATGAAGGTTCACCGTGTTTAAGCTTCTTCTCTTCTTCATTCCAAACTTTTTTTCTTCTTGCTCTCCCAAAAGTTCCAGTTCCCCCAGTTTCTCTCCCTAAACTATTTAACTTTGTCTTTGCCTGTGTGTGTGTGTATTTTCGTGTCTTGCCAGGTGTCTCCTATGTCTGTGACAGTCAAAGCAGCTACCCACAGGTGCTCCAGTCTGATCTCACAGGCTGTGCCAAGCCAGGCCTGGACTTTTCTCACACATCCTAGACAGCAAATACAGCAGCCTGCTCTTCCTGGACTTGGCTAACATTTCAGCCTTTTGGCTTCCCTGCCCCAGTGTCAGTAGCCAAAGATGATTGATTTCTTTGCCTGTTATCCATTTATCATCAACAAAAGGCTGGAATGGTGTGCTTTGGATCTAGGACAAACAGTTCTAGCTCCTCCCAACATTCCTCAGTCCCTACCTGCTGCTGGGCACAGCTGGCAAACCCCGTCCTCTACCCTGAACTTTCCAGGGAAGGGACTTCTTCTTCAGCATATAACCTGGACCTCCTGCTCTCCCTCTTTCTCTGCCCCTTGTATTCGAAGAGCTTCTCCCAGTGAGCCTACATTTTTGTGCTTTACGTACTGTACTTTGACTTGCCTTGCATGAGAAGCAGCCCAACGCCTTCATTCCTGCCTCGCCGCCCCTCTGTAGCTCTTTTTTAATTATAGGAAAAGGGAGGAATGTTAGCATACAGGCAGCCCGCCTCTAGGTTGCTAAGCAACCTGTGACATCCTCAGCTGTTACCCGAGGGGGAACCAGGATAAAGGACCCCCCTCTTTAACCCTAACCCTAACTCCATCTCTTGAAGGTCATTCTCTCCACTCCTAGGGCAGTAAAGATGGCTGTTGTCACACCATGGGTCCTGGTCACCCAGATTAAGAAAGGAGAAGTTCAATAAAGATGTTGCTGCCAAATGGCTTGTCTCTGGACTATGGACCCATTGAAATCAAGACTTTACTGAGCTGGCCCTTCCACTCCCTGCCCCTTCACATCCTACTGAGGCTTTGTTTTGCACTTTATGGGTGAAGAAAGGATGTGGTTCCACCCCGCTTGCCCACAGGCGTGGACTGGAAACTGAGGAAGACAGATGCAGGGAAAGTATTAGCTAGTGTGACTACAGACTAGCAAGCCACACTCCACCTTTACCTTTACTCCTCGTGCCCACTTAGGACAATTCAGATAGGAATACAGAGTCAACAATTCTATGCATGCCCTGTAGCTGGGCCCCTAACTGCCAGAAATCCACTGCAAAAATTGGGGTTGTAAAACTGAGTAAGAAGTTTTGTCCTCTAACAAAATGAGCCAGTTCAAATCAAAGCATAAAGGCAGGTTTTTTGGGGGCAGCTCTTGGGGGGGACTGGTCCCAAGGAACCAAGGAAGTCATACAGAGGGAGACAGAGAAGAGCAGGGAGAGAGAGAAAGCATGTGCACACACAGAAAATCTAGAGAAGGGGGGAACCAAAATGACAGGATTCTATAGGGCAGTCCCACCCCTGAGCTGGAGAACTCAAGGCAGAGGGCAGGGTATACCAGTAATGCCCTGTAATGTGTAGGGACAGAGGGATGCTGGGAGAACCAGGAGGCCAGGTCCACTTAGGTATGTTGAAGAGGCACCTCGGCTGCTGTCCTGGGTCTGAAAAGGAATGCTGAGGCTTTCTGAAATTTTTCTTTAAGAAGATTCTGGCCTTGGGAAATGGGAAAAAAACTGGGAACCAGTCTTTATGCCACAGGAAGAGACCCCTGGGGAAAGAGTTGATCATTTTCAGCCAAAAATCAACCAGGATTGCTGGTTATGCTTAAACACCTGCTCCCCCGCCCCCCACTACATAAAAGGAACTAAACAGACTGTCAGCCCTTTGAAAACACTGTGACTGGAGCCACCACCAATTAACGCTAGAGGACTTAGAAAAGACTACAACTTGTCTAATGTGTAAAATCTTTAATTCAGACACTTCCCCTTATTCTGACACCTGCTGTTCTTTTTATGGACTAATTCATATAACAGTAATACTATCAAGTCCACGAGACTACTTGGAGGGCATGTACTAATGGTTTGACTAAATGTGCCTCTTTTGATGCTTCCAAAATAACTAGTCTGGTTGATCAGGACCTAGGAATATTAAAAGTTTGTTTCTGAAAACAACAGATTTTTCTTGCAGAAATGACTTTACAAAATTGTTGAGACTTAGACTTACTTCCCATGAGATAAAGGACACTAGGTCTGGCTTTGGGAAAAACCTTTCATTTCTATCCTAAGTGATCAGGAGTAATTAAACAGGAATATTACTGTGGTTGGAAGGGGGAAAAAAAACCTCAAAAACTGAGAGACAAAGCCATTAATCAGATAATTGGTACAGTCTGTTCTTTTGGTCTCCTGGCTAACTAGTCTATCAGCAATGGATAGAACTTCCCATTCTGATTGAATTTGGCCAATTATGTTATCAGTTCAATAAAACTATTGGTCCTAAGCTATAACTTTTTAAATTTTTTATTTATTTAATGTATATGTGTGCTCTTTCTGCATGTACACCTGTATGCCAGAAGAGGTCATCAGACCCCAGTGTAGATGGTTGTGAGCCACTGTGTGGTTACTGGGAATTGAACTTAAGACCTCTGGAAGAGCAGACAATGCTCTTAACCACTGAACCATCTCTCCAGCTCCAGCTATATCTCTTTAGAATAGAATGAGCTCACAGTTTGACTCATTGACTAAGACCAGTGGAATACTGAGCAGGTCCCCAGACCTTAGCACAACTGACTCCATGATGGAAGTGCCATTCTGGCTGTAAAACTTAGCAGGTAGACAGCACCATCTGCATAAACTAAAACAAAGACCTAATCCATAGAAGTCTATAGTTCTAGGAAAGTTTCTTAAATGTGCCAACCTAGCCTTTTGGTTTTGTAATTTTGCTTCTACCTGTTCTTGTTAACTAAATTATGTCAACACAGGACATGAGAAAGGCTCAGGGCTACACCAGGATCCTGAACACCCAGTATAGGCCCAGGCTAGCTAGTAAAGATTTTCTATTGGCTTAAGCTCATGTCTGAGGAGTCTTCTCTGGTGGATCCTGCACATTAGAGGATGAGCAGATACTATTACATTTCTTATTTTTGAGAAAGGATCTCATTTATCTCAGGCAGGCCTTGAACTATGTAGCCAATATGACCTTTTCTCTCGTTTCCAGTCGTGGAATATTGGGATTTCAGGTGTGTTCCATCTGTTTACATAGGGCTTATCATTGAAGCTAGTGCGTCGTACAAGCTAGGAAAACATTGTACAAACTGAGCCACTTCACTAGCTGAAGCCTCATTTTGTTATTATTTGCTTTGGGGGGAGGGGTGTTTTTGAACACATTGCAAACCAGGGAAGCACAGAGTTGTTACTGGCCTAAGTCACTAGCTGTGAATATTCAGAACTCACTGTTAAACTCATGTTTTTCTGTTTCTTAGCATGAAGCATACCAGTCAGTAATGGCAAAGTGTGTGAAGGAGACTGAGACAGAGGAAAATGGGATTTCTTTTGGACAAGAGTCAGATCTGAATGGGATGGGCAGGAAGCTCAGAACAGCACATGGCAAGTCTGAATGTGGGAGTCCAGCCTCAAGCTGTTTGTTCATACCTTGTAGATGGAACAGAGGGTGCTAAGGCGGGTAGGGACAAGGGGCTGGAGAGGGAGGCAGTCAGGAATGGGAAGTGATTCAAAAGGTGGCTGGCTGTGGGTGGGCTGCCCTTGCCTCTGCGGCTCTTAAACCTCAGAGTTCCGAACTGACCCCATTATCATTTTATACTGTTAAGATTGTTATCTTTGCTGTATCAGGCTAAATACAAATTATTAAAATCATTTTGACCTTTCTGGCTGCCTTTTGTTTCATAGTCAATAGATATCTTGTCCTATGTTGGGTAAGCTGGCTGCCTCAGGGGTAACATCTAAGTCCTTTAAATTCAATCCAGGCAACAGAACTCATTCTGGACACTTTGAGCATGAAAAAGAAATAGTGAAGGAAATAGAACTGACACAACAGTGACTTCATTTGGAGGAAAGCTGGACAGGGAATGGGTATTGGCTGAGGGAGACAGTGGCCAGCAGGGCAGAAAGAGGCCAGAAATAGGGGTAGGGATGTGGGCTGGAAGAAGGGCTGGCTTTGGTTTCCACGTGCAGGAAACCCCAAAGGCCATGAATGACTATGACCAGGCTGGGGAGGGCTGCCCAGTCCTGGCCATGGGCCTGAGCGACATCTGCTGTTGAATCTTGGGAAAGGACAGGCTGGGAGCTGCCATCTTCCTCAGCAGGCTCCTCCCCATGTCTTCATCTGTTTTATACGGTAAGAAAGCTCCACAGATGGGTGACTTGTTTTCTCATTTCTGAAGCTGGGAACTCTAAGCTCATGACAAGGTTCCTGCAATGAACCTTGGGGTCCCTCGGCCTTCTGCCTCCTGTCTTACTGTGTAGCTCTGCTCAACACGCCCCAGTCTCTTCCTAACTCTCTACTTCCCTTTCCCGTTTCTTTAGTTTTCCTCCCCTCCCCTGCTGATGCCTCCCCGTTTTCTCTTCAGCGCCTCCATCTCTCTCTCCCTCCTCTCCTCCTTTACTCCTCCGGCTCTTCATAGTCTCCCCTTCTTTCTCTCCCTCCTCCGTCTGCTCCGCGACCTTCCACGGAGAAGCGGGGAAATCGCACAGAAGCAACGGCAGCACTGCCACGGAAGAACGGGGTAGGAAACGGCGCCGACAGCTCTGCGCGTGCGCGTTCTGTGGCGCGCGGAAACGACTCCCGCCCGAGGCTGAGTCCCGCCCAGGAGGCGGTGCTTGGCCGGTGGGGGTGGAGCCTGGCCGCTTGGGGGCGTGGCCCGGAGAGCGTCAGATCTCGTGAGAGGGGCGACCGGTGACGGGTTGGAGGGCGGGTGCGTCCTGGGCGCGCGCGCAAGGGTTTGAATCTGGTCCGAGCGCGGGAAACTGTGGGTCCCTGGTGAGGTGAGCGCTGCGCGCCCGGGTCGGTCGGGTGTGAGTGGGATCCGGCGGCGAGCGGGCCGCTCAGCCCGCCGAGGCTCTCCTGTCCGCGGCCGCCGTCGGTGCCGGGCGCTGGTGGAGTGGGCGAGGTGCGGCGGGAGGGCGGAGCGGGACCCTCTAGGTCCCCGAGCAAGACGAGGGGCTCCTCAGCCAGCATGTCAGCCGGGGACGCGGCCTCTCAGGGAGGAGCGCAGGCCAGGACCTCACTCTGACGAGGGAGGACTCCGGAAGAGGGCCCGGGTGTGACTGGAGAGCACCCAGAACAGGACCTGGGCTCACTAGGGAGGGTGTCAGAGGGATCTGACGCCGAGACCCGCGTCAGAGCAGCGAGGACCCCGGACAGGGGTCCAGGCTGAGTAGGTAGGACCAAAGACCTACACCGGCTGACGAGGGAGAACCCTGCCGGAGTGTGAAACTTGGGAGGTCTCCGGGCACGGCCAGGGAATGACGTGAAGATCCGGCACCGGGCCCGGGAGCTGACTAGGGAGGATCCCAGTCTCGACCCTTGTCTGGGGGCCTGACGAAGTGAAGGCGCTGGTCTTTTGCTTGGGCTGCCTATACGGAGGACCCCGAAGCTACTCCTAGGACTCATCTAGGGAGGACAAATCCAGAAATGGAGTAACAGTTTGTAAGTCCAGCAGATGTAAACATTATATGGCAGACGAAGTTGACAAAGGCATGTACTTGAGTAAACACAAGTGTTTTTAAAAACAGAATTTAAAAAGTGTTCCTATTGGTCGCGTGCCTTTCCCTCTCCATTTTTTTTTTAACAGAAAAAAGTTAGGTTTCACTGTTCAGCCATTTGAATTGGGGAGCGAAGTGGCTGTATTTAAATTTACTTGTGTGAAGAGTTGTCAAATGGAGATTTTATGCTTTTATTCAATTTGGAATAGGAATATATATTTGCTGTGACTCACTGTATAATTACTGCCAGTAATTTTACATATTGCTGTATTTTTAAAGGTATAGAAGACTTTTAAAAGAGAAGTCCTATTGCAAACATGGTCTATCATTTGCTGTAACTGTTTTGTTAGATTTATGTTTTGAATATGTCATCCTGGCGGCAGGTGTAAGTAAAATTGGGTTTCCTAGGAGAGCGAAGGCAGGAAAGAGTGAGCTAGGTCCCTTGAGCACTCATTATCCTGAAGGTGTGGAGAGGAGGGTGCTAAAGTGGTGAGTGCACCTACAAGCTCCCGGGTGACCTCAGGGCTGTTGTTGAGGTTTTCACTCCCAGTAACAGTCCTTCATTTGAAAAACAAGGGAGGATTGATGAGTGGGATCTTCTTGGAGGAACGGCCCATTAGAAGTGGAGTCTGCTGAATTCAGCTGTGGGGATCTGCCTGAACCTGCTGCAGAAGTCAGACCTTCCCAAGGCAGCAGTGCAAGTAAGATTAGAGGAATGAAGTTTCATTGACAATTGGTAATGACATGGATATTTTGTTTATAACATCAGTAAATATTTTTTCAGATTATTACAGTTTTGTGTCAGAATGTTGTTAGAAACTTATAGTGGTATAAGCATTTCTCACTCTTCTTGAATGTTTGTGTCAAATGAAAACTTACCGGAAAACATGCACATTTAGATTCTGGTTTGATTGTATCCTACCAGGGTTATAAAGCAAGCCCCCTTAGAACAGTCTCATCTATCTGTCATGGAAAAACGTGAGGCTTTCGTCCAAGCAGTATCTAAGGAGCTGGTTGAAGAGTTTCTGCGGTTTGTTCAACTTGATGTAAGTTGTGTGTTTGAATTTTATTGTATTTTTTACTCTGGATATAAATATTATTCTAAAATCATGTCACTAAGTGAAATACAATTCTCTTGGTGAGTCCTTGGGGGTGAATGTTTATTTTTAAAAGGATAAGTAAATTCTTTAGAATTGAATGGACCCGCTTTTTGGCTGAGTTAAAAAGTAGAAGATATAAAAAGTTAACCAAAGAGCCCATTGAACTGAAGCAGATCCCTAAGGACTGGAGAAGGCAGGTTGTGTTTTAACCTGAAGAGGTTTGTTGGGGCCAGAATGCAGTGACAGACACAAGGGGGGAAAGGCAGTGAAAAAAAAAAAGAAGAGAAACTATTACTTTTCTATTGCTGTGATAAAACATGACTAAAGCAACTTATGTAAGACCTTATTTCTGGCTTTATGCGTCCAGAGGGACACAGTGGGAGCAGGAAGCTGAGAACCCGTATCCTCAACTGTAAGCACACGCATAGCAGGCTAGAAGGGGGTTACCTGATTAGTGACATACTTCCTCCATCAAGACTGTACCACTTAAAGCTCCCAAAACAGTGCTGCCCACTGGGGACCAAATGTTTAGATACCCAATTCCATAGGGGGCATTTCTCATACAGATGACTGCAGAGACCTTCTTTGCGATTTTAGAAAGCTCAGAGTTTGTCCAGTGGGTAGAGAGTGGCCAGCACGTAGACAGGAGAGGAACCCCAGTGGAAGAAAACTAGGACAGAAGACAGTGAGAAGACGGAAGCAAGATTCGCCTCTGGGAATGCTTGTGTGCCTGCATGCATGGAGCAGGTTGGGGGACCAAGCCTGGTAGCTGGAAAGTAAGGTACTGCTTATCATTGCTAGTGGATTTAGGTGAAGTTGGAAGCCTTCAACTGCAGGAACAGCAGTGCAGTTTGGTTACATATGATGACAATGGCACGGCCTAGGTGTAGGGAAAAGATGACCATCAGGAGGATGTGTTCAGGGTGATGGCCATGAGGCAGTTTGACAGTCTGTCTAGGCTAGAGCTAGAAAAGGAGCCATTAGCTGTAGGTGGGATCTTCTGCTTTGGGAGTGTACAGTTATGTATGGTAGTATAAGGTATGGGAACAGTGGAGAGAGCTAGAGTGGAGCTCTGCACTGCTGTTTTGATAGTAGTTAATGCTAGGTCAAGAGGTAGAGTAAGAAACCAGCTGACAGGGATTAAAAGGTAGGAGGGACTTTTGAGTTGAGGGTTTTTTAACACAGCGTTGGGGAGTATGAGGAGCTTTAGCTGTCTGGCTTTTTGGGCCTAAAGATGTGTGCTGGAGTTGGCTGAACCACACCATATTCACCTGTTTACAATAAACAAAGTTCTTGGAGTAAAGGTGTGTGATAGGGCTCAGCCACACCTACCAAGAAGCAGGGTTTTACAGTTGCAATTTTGGGGTTTGCAATGGTATCAAGTTCCTGCAACAGGAAGAGATGTGCATTTTGCTATGACACATTCAAGATAGGAATCTAATAGAACACCGTGACACACATTGAGTCATTAATATACACAAATGCTATAGGAAGTGGTGATGCGTCCCCTTGAGAAAGAATGGGAGTTTATAGTTAGAAGTCAATGGTCAGCTTGCACAGCCCTTGCCATTCTTGTGGGAAAGGGGAAAGGACAAGAGAGCAGAAAAAGAAAAAGATAAACTAGTCCCATGGAACATTAGTGCTTAAGTGTACAGTGTAGTGGTTAGTGGGTTTGGGAGGTAAGGAATTGTGGTCCATAGAGGGGTGGAGCTAATTAATTAATTAGTTAATTTTTTAAGAAAGTACCTTTGTGTTAGGAAAAGTGTACCCTGATAGAGTCACATGCCTATAACTCTTGAATGATTCCAAAATAATGAATGATTCTAGGACAAAGAATACAGCCATTGAAGCTGGGCACAGTGGCGCACGCCTGTAATCCTAGCCTTTGGGGAGGCAGAGGCAGATAGATCTCTGTGAGTTGGAGGCCAGCCTGGTCTACAAATCGAATCCAGGACGGTCAAGACTACCCAGAGAAACCCTGTCTCAAAATACAAACAAACAAAATGCAGCAGTTGGTAAGCACTAAGTCCACACTGAATTATTCTGTGTGTGTTTGACCTTGTGTGTGCGCATTAACGTTGGTGCACATGTGGAGTCAGACGGTGGTCTTCGGTTGCCTCCACCTGTTGTTTGAGACAGGGTGTCTCGTGAGTCTGGAGCTGTGGCATGGAAGCTCTTATACTAGCCAAGAGCTTCCAGAGATCCTCTCGTCACCCACCTCAGAAGGTAGGAGTGCAGTCAGGCTGCCATGCCCAGCTTCTTCAGGGAGTTCTGGGACCCAAGCTTGGATCTTTACAAGCACTTGACCAAATGAGCTCTCTCTCCACCCAGTGTTCTCTTGAAACTTGTACTTAAGTGTGCAGTTAGGTTTCATTATGCTTTTTTTTTTACCTTAGTTTCTTGTTTGTTTTTGTGTAATTTTCTCTCCTCTCTTTCCCATCTCTTTGCTCCACTCCCATATGCTTCTACCCTTTTTGCATACGTGTCACACTTTGACTTTTGGGGTGCTCTCTGTTACTCCCCACACTGCTTTTTGCCCTTTCATGGGCTTTGTAGTTTAACAAACTATGCCCACTTTCACACCCACTTAATATGCATAATACATATTAGCATTAAAAGTTAGGATCTGCATATGAGGAAGGATAGGCAGTGTCTGATGAAGCTGGGTCACCTTCATTAATGCAGTGCTATGTAGGTTTTCCTTCAGATCTCATTTTTCTTTACAACTAACTGAAATCACATTGTGTGTGTGTTAATGTATGCATTAAGATCCTCAAGACGTGAAAGTTTAACCATTGTTTTCAGTACATGCTTATGTTTTATTTCATGTGTATTGGTGTTTTCCCTGCAATGTATATCTGTGTGAGAGTGTCGGATCCTATGGAACTGGTCTTCTAGACAGTTGTGAGCTGCTATGTGGTGCTGGGAATTGAACCCAGGTCCTCTGGAAGAGCAGACAGTGTTCTTAAAAACTGAGCCATCTCTCCAGCTCCCACATTCACGTTTTAACAGTTATCACAATAATAACCTTTATAGTCATGCTTTTCCAGATCCAGGATGCAGCCAGGAACAGCTTTGTCACGTCTCTTCGGAGCTCTTTACACTGGGAGGTATTCCAGCCTTCCTGTGCTTGTCACAGCCCTGGCAGGTGGAGAGTCTCCTTTTCAGCAGGGGCTGCTTGGAAATGCCTTTCAGGATGGCCTTGTTACAGGGGGTCATTGGGGGGTGCTTGCACTCACCCTAGCGACTTACTGCTTCCTCTTTGTAACCATGGGCTGCCTGAAGAAAACATGACTGTGCGTGAAAAGTGTGCTTTCAGAACACTTCCACCAGCTCATTTAAGAGCTGTGGAGGGTTCTTACCAGAGTCTTTTACTATGATGGCTATAACATTGTTATTTGTGAACTCTATACTTCAGGATTTATTCATTGGCGCCCTCAGCATGCCAGTGCTACTAGTGAATGATTTGTTATTTATTAACTTAAAACCTCATCGAAGCTGTGAGCTATAATCTATTATTGTCACTATACCTGGCTTAGGTTGTTCCAGAGCAGCTGCAGGAAAGTCTCTCGGATTGGGTTTTGCACCTTTTTGATAATAACTGTTTTTACTCTGTCAGAAAGATGTGGTCAGTCTGCCCAAAGTGAGAAGACAGTCTAGCAAGCTGGAGTGGGCGCGGGAGTGGGATTTGGGGGATTGGGAAAGGACTCTGATTCAGGAAGAGGTTGCTGTCAGGGCAATGAGAAGCAGTCATTGGTAGCATGAAGAACTGGATGGGAGGGAATCTGACCCTTTCCAATATTTGCCTCCAATATAGTTTTGTTTCTGATGACAGGACATTTGAATTGATAATGGACATTTGAACTGATTTTAGGGATTTTGAGTACATGAAATTTTAATCTTTAAAGATCTGGTCCTTAAGGAAGAAGAAGTAGAAGAGAGAGTTGATGCTTTCTGTTTGGTAATTTTGTACCTTTTCCCTGTTAGGAAAGGATTTAAAAAATAAGTCAAATACTTTGCTTTGCAGAAGTTTTTCAGTTTCATGAGGTCCCATTTATTGATTGTTGATCTTAGAGCCTGTGCTGTTGGTGTTCTGTTCAGGAAGTTGTCTCCTGTGTCAATGAGTTCAAGGCTTTTTCCTACTTTTTCTTCTAACAGGTTTAGTGTATCTGGTTTTATATTGAGGTCTTTGATCCACTTAGACTTTAGTTTTGTGCAGGGTGATAAGTATGGATCTATTTGTATTTTCCTACATATAGCTATCCAGTTAGACCAGCACCATTTGTTGAAGATGCTATCTTTTTCCATTGCATGATTTTGGCATCTTTGTTAAAAATTAGTTGTCCATAAGTGTGTGTGTTTATTTCTGGGTCTTCTGTTTGATTCCATTGATCCACTATTCTGTTTCTATGCTATACCATGCAGTTTTTATTACTGTTGCTTTGTCATCTGAGCAAAACGACATCCTACAGACTGGGAAAGTATCTTCACCAACCCTATATCTGACAGAGGGCTAATATCCAGAATATATAAAGAACTAAAGAAGTCAAACAGCAACAAATCAAGTAATCCAATTAAAAAATGGGGAACCGAGCTAAATAGAGAATTCTCAATAGAGGAATGTCGAATGTCAGAGAAACACTTAAAGAAATGCTCAGCATCCTTAGTCATCAGGGAAATACAAATCAAAATGACCCTAAGATTTTATCTTACACCCATCAGAATGGCTAAGATGAAAAACTTAAGTGACAACACATGCTGAAAGAGGATGTGGAGAAAGGGGAACCCTCCTCCACTGCTAATGTACAACCCTCCTCCATTGTACAACCACTTTGGAGGTCAATCTGGTTCTTTCTCAGACAATTAGGAATAGTGCTACCTCAAGATCCAGCCATACCACTCCTGGGTGTATACCCAAAAGATGCTCAAGTATACAACAAGGACGTTGGCTCAACCATGTCTGTAGCAGCTTTATTTGTAGTAGCCAGAAGCTGGAAATAGCCCAGATGTCCTTCAGTTGAGGAATGGATACAGAAATTGTGGTAATTTACACAATGGAATACTCCTCAGCAATTAAAGACAAGGAAATCTTGAAATTTGCAGGCAAATGGTGGGAACTAGAAAAGACCATCCTGAGTGAGGTATCCCAGAAGCAGAAAGACACACATGGTATATACTCACTTATAAGTGGATATTAAACATATAGGATAATCATACTAAAAATCTATATACCTAAAGAAGCTAATCAAGAAGGAGCACTCTGGGTAAGATGCTCAGTCTTTATTCAGAAAGGCAAACGGGATGGACATCGGAAGAAGGAGAAAACAGGGAACAGTACAGGAGCCTACCACAGAGGGCCTCTGAAAGACTCTACCCAGCAGAGAATCAAAGTAGATGCTGAGGCTCATAACCAAACTTTGGGTAGAGTGCAGGGAATCTTATGAAAGAAGGAGGAGATAGAAAGACCTGGAGGGGACAGGAGCTCCACAGGGAAGAAAAAAATTGGGGCACAGGGATCTTTTCTCAGACTGATACTCCAACCAAGGACCATGTATGGAGATAACCTAGAACCCCAGCACAGATGTAGTCCATGGCAGCTCAGTGTCCAAGAGGGTGCCCTAGTAATAGGAACAGGGACTGTCTCTGACATGAACTCAGTGGCTGGCTCTTTGATTACCTTCCTCTAAGGGGAAAGCAGCATTACCAGGCCACAGAGGAAGACAATGCAGCCAGTCCTGATGAGACTTGATAGACTAGGGTCAAATGGAAGGGGAGGAGGTCCTCCTCTATCAGTGGACTGGGGGCGGTGTCATAAGAGAAGAAGAGGGAGGGAAGGTGGGATTGGGAGTGAGGGAGGGAGGGGGCTGCAGCTGGAATACAAAGTGAATAAAGTGTAATAAATAAATAAATTAATTAAAAAAATAAGCCAAATGCTTAAAAATATCTAATTTATTAGTTAAGCTTTTCTATTAATACCAGTATGAAAAGAATACAACTAATTTTTCATATATTGTGTTTTTTTTATTTTACAGAAAAATTCTTCTGATCCTTTTAGCTTAAGTGAGTTACTAGATGAATTATCAAGGAAACAGAAAGAAGAATTATGGCAAAGGCTGAAGGATTTACTCACAGAAACGTTGTTGGAGAGTCCTGTGGATGGGTGGCAGACAGTAGAAGTCCTGGGTGAAACTGAAATGGAGTCAGAGCACAGTCCAAAGATGGTATTTGCCTTCCAGAAATAAAAATAGTTCCTCTTTACTGTGTTAAGAGATTGTTTATTTGAATAATAGAACTTTCTTTTTGAGACAGAGTCTCACTGTTTGTCATGGCTGTCCTGGAACTCACATGAATGCCAGGCTGGCGTCAAACTCTGAGAGATCACCTACCTTAGCTTCCTCAGTGCTGGGATAAAAGGTGTGCACCATCATGCCCAGCTTGAATATTTTAATAACTTTTAAGTTGAGAAAATGTGCAATATGCTAGTTCTGTTCATTGTAATTTTACCTGCTGCCCAGCCCTGCTGCTGCTGTTCTACTTACTCCTCAGTGTTACAGTTCTTTTAGGGCATTTGACTTATATTAAATTTTAATCTACCTTTTAGAGGTGGCTTCATTTTGGAAATTTAGACTATTTGATTTTTTTAAAAACAAGTTGAGTGTTAAGTTCCTTATTTAACGCATTATCTTCTAATGTTTAATTTCTAGAAAAAGAGCATAGAAATAACATACGCAATTGCAACTGTAATTCTTGCTTCTATATCTATAATAAATGAACATGAGAACTATGGGGCCCTCTTGGAATGTGCTGTTATATTGAATGGTAAGTGTGTATTTGTTAGTGGCCACTAACATGACGTGTTTTAAAAAGAAATCACCTATGTTCACCAGCAGGGTGGCAATCTGAAACAAAAATGTAAAGACATGTCTTCGCTCTTAAGTTCTCTTCTGTCCGGGCACTCTGAGCAATTCAGTTGCCCAGGCTCCGTTTCAGGGTTTCAGAGGATGAACTGGTTGTGAGCTGCTACTGCTGCTGCTGCTTGCAGCTTTTTTAGGATAGTTTGCCTGGGTTCACAGGACTAATGATAATAAGTGCTTGTTTGAAAGGACATCTCTGACCACAGATTTCTCAGTTTGTGCTATTGCCACAGAGCCCAAGAGTCAGTGTCATTGGATTTTTTTCTTACGGGATGACCATGTGGAGTTGTTGATTCCCATGATTCTTGTTAACTTTTAACTGAGCCTGTAAAGGTGTTTTTATTAAACAGGTATACTAGTCTGAATTAAAGACAAATCAAGTTACAAAGTACTTATACAAAATTATTTTATAGATATAACAGCAGTTTTATTTTACAGATTTTTAAAAAATTATTTATTATGTATACAATGTTCTGTGCGCATGTACAGAAGAGGGCACCAGATCTCATTATAGATGGTTATGAGCCACCATGTGGTTTCTGGGAATTGAACTCAGGACCTCTTGGAAGAGCAACCAGTGCTCTCAACTTCCGAGCCATCTCTCCAGACCCCTATTGTATAGATTTTAAAGAGCTATCTTTTGAGTACTTGGCCTACTTGGGTACCACTTGGGTACTGGGGCAGCTTCCTATCAAGTTCTTAGTTTTTGCATCACTTGGATTTTTTATGTCTTTAGGATGCTGCTTTAGTCTGATTTCTTGAAATTAGTATATTTTTCCCTTTTTAATATTTTACACTTTTAGTATGTTTTTAATTGAGATAGAATTACATCTCTAATCCCTTCCAGCTATCCTCTCTCCAACCTCTGTCTTTGTTACCACCCCAGTTAGTAGTGTCTTTTCTTTGACTATCTTAAATTACGTCAGTTTCCAAGTGCTTTCTGAATTTTACTACCAGTTTATTGATCTTCTCCAAATACCTGGTAAAATGAGTGCTGTTGTAGTTGCTTCCAGACTTCCCGTGACTCTAAAAGCTTTATGTGTATATAATGGTGTTCAGGCGCCTGTGGGTATTAAGAGCACACTGTTATTTAATCATCGAGCCTTTTTGTTTCTGAAAGCAATAGCTCTCATATTCACTGTGACTTGCTTTGGTTGTCTCCGCCTTTGAGCCTAGACCTGAGGCTAGTGTGTGGAGATTGAGGTGGATTGTGGTCTGGACCTGTCCTACTAATAGTGATGTATTGCTCTGAGGCTTCTAGGTCTAAAGTTCTCTGTTTTGTTGTATCTGTTTTTATAACACAAGTCTTCTTTTGGCTAAGTCCATAAATGATGTTTATTTGGCAAGTTAAACTAATATTTGCTTAGCAAGGCCTTGTACCAAGTCATAATACTCTATAGTTTTGAGTTTGAATTGGTAATAATCTTCTTAATTACAGAAATTAAGAAATTAATTTGTGCTGTGTTTTAGGCATTTTATATGCATTACCTGAATCTGAACAGAAACTCCAGAACTCTATTCAGGATCTGTGTGTCAGATGGTGGGAAAAGGGCCTGCCTGCCAAGGAGGACATGGGAAAGACTGCGTTTATCATGCTGCTAAAGAGAAGTCTGGAGACAAAAACAGTATGTTTGCTTCCCTCAGGCCATGCTTAGTGAGGGGTGGATTAGGTGTTAAGGATTTGGACTCTATAGCTTCCCAGTTTATGGGCGTTTGTTACAGGGATCTTAAGAGGTCAAGGGGGGGTGCGCAGTCCACAGCCAGATTTAAAGTTGGCTTTTGTTCTTTCCTCACGCTGTGGCTGCTGTCCTCTTTGTCACATCATGGTGCCCTACCTCCAAATCTTGATACTAGTTCTGCAGTGGAAAGAAAGCAGGGGTCCAGGAGGGCCAAGCTTTCTCAGACTAGCTGTGCTGGTCGATTTTCTGAGTTGTTGATGGAGGGTGGAAGGAGGTGCCCGTGACTCTGGTCCTCTGAGAGCAAGACCAAGCAGGTAGTCAGGAGTGTGAGTAAAAGGCAGGGTGCTTCGGGATTCCTATGGGAATCATTTCATTTACGGTGGAGCCTCAGGGAAGGTGAGGCTGGGACAAGAGAAACAGTTTTGAAGTTTGAGGCCAGCCAGGGCTGTGTAAAGCCCTATTAAAAAACAAAGAAATAAGTGAAAAACCAGAAAAAAAAGGTAAAAACTATTTGGTGGAACTAGACAGAGATTTTGCAGGGTTTCACTGTGTAGCCTTGGCTGTCCTGTAACTAGTTCTGTAGACCAGGCTGGCCTCAAACTCACAGAGGTCCTTCTGCCTCTGCCTCCTGACTGCTGGGATTAGAGGCATGTATCACTATTTTCATTTGTTACTAATTTTTGATGATTCTGTAATCTTCATTATTTATGACAAAATAATTTTTTAGATTGAAATACAACTTCACAGAAAACAAAACAAAATAAGTTTGACATTGTTCTCTCCTGTGTCACTGTGTCGTTTCCAGGGTGCGGATGTGTGTCGGTTATGGCGCATCCATCAGGCTTTATACTGCTTTGATTATGATTTGGAGGAAAATAGAGGAATTAAAGACATGCTACTTGAGTGCTTCATAAATGTTAATTACATTAAGAAGGAAGAGGTAAGTAGGTTTTCTTTTTGGTTTGTTGGAAGCTCTCCTCAAGTTCGTGTGGCTGTTGTTTGTACTGTGCTGTCTGAGGAAAGCCAGAGTACCTGGTAAGAGCTGGACCTGGTGGCACATACCTTTAATTCTAGCAATGTCGAAGCAGAGGTAGGCAGGTAGATCTTTGAGAGTTCGAGGCCAGCGTGGCCTGCAAAGTGAGTTCCAGGACAGCCAGGGCTGTTACACAGAGAAACTGTATCTCGGAGGGTGGGGGAGAGCTATGAACTTACTCCCATCGCTCACTTAGATGGCCCCAGTGGAGCATGTACAACACAGGTTGTGCCTTTTATTTATTGTTACACTGGATGGGAATTAGCTCAGTTGTACAGTCCTGGGGGGAAGCAGAATGTCACAATTCCACCCAAAGATGAGTACTATATATAGTCCATATATAGTATCATCTATATTACCTATAGACACACATAAATGTAAAAAGCATATCCCTGTGGCTGAGATCTGTCTGTCTCTTACTTCTACAGGTTGTTGTTGTGTGTGTGTGTGTGTGTGTGTATGTGTCCTAGAGTTTCTGTTGCTGTGATAAAATACCATGTCCAAAAATAGCTTAGGGAGGAGAAGGTTTATTTTACCTTACAACTGTCTTGGTCACACTCCATCACTGAAGGAGGTCAGGGCAGAGACTCAAGGCAGGAACCTGGAGGCCAGAACTAAAGCAGAGGCCATGACAGAGTGCTGTTTTCTAGATTGTTTCCCATTGATTGCTCAGCCTGCTTTTATTTGTTTGTTTGTTTGTTTGTTTATTTGTCGTTGTTGCTGCTGTTGCTGTTTTGTTCTTTATTTTTGGAGATGGGTCTCTAGTTTGTAGCCCTGGCTTTCCAGGCCTCAGGTTATTCTTGCTTGAAATGTCTCTCTCTCTATTTTTTTTTTTTTTTTTAATGGAGAAAGGTTCTTTATAACTGGCTGGCCTGCACCTCTTTGTAAACCAAGCTGGTCTTTAACTCACTGAGATCTGCCTGCCCTGCATCCCAGGTACTGGAATTAAAGTCATGCACCTCCAAGCCCCCTCATGCTGCTCTCGTAAACCACCCAGGACCACTTGTCTGTGAGTGTCACCACTAGCAGTGGGTTGGGCCCCACATCACCTGTTAATAAAGAAAGTGCCCCACTGGCTGGCCTGCAGGCCAGTCTTGTGGGATATTTCTCAGTTGAGGTTCCCTCCCCTCAGGTGACTCTCGAGTGTATCAGTTGACAGAGCACCACCGCATGGGGTGAGGAGGGTGAATATGCTGAGAATTGATCCCAGAGCCGCACGTATGCTACGTAAGTGCTCTACTACTGAGCCTCCCCGGCCACATAATTGTGTTTTACTACTGAGCC